GTATGCAGCATAAAATTTTCAAGTAAACAATTTCCACGCACACACACGTATGTATATATAGTATATATATACTAGAATTCCGAGATGCGACGACTTCAATCGTAAAATGCGTGTATGTACTTTATTATATAAAGAGCGCGAAACTTTAGCTTGTGCGTAGGTGAGACATTTGTGAGACGCTCCATAAAATGCTAAGTGATTGACTGACATACTTAGAGAGCGTGGGAATATAAAGACAAAGGAGCAGCAGCCACACCTTTATGGGACGAGGAAACGGCAGATACGTGTTTACAATTAATATATACAAAAGCTGATCATGTTTATTTTCTATACAGATATGTACATCTGGGCACTTGTACGTGTCTCTATGAATAAACTAAAAATTGCATAAGTAAGTGCAATAGAATGCAAAGCGAGTTGGCCGAGTGGTGAGCACGTAAAGCGCATAATACAACATGACTGGCAGACAAACGTACTATAATCATCCGGGGATGCAGTGGCTGGCAGTTGAAACAGCAGCTGGAATTGCAATTCATGACAATTAAATGCAAGAAATAGTAACAAGACGGCATCAGAAGACAAGATACGACAAGCCAAGACGAGGCCAGACAAGAGCAAAGCAAAGTACAGGCCAACCAGTGGAAGTTTGAAAGCCCAACGCTGACTCTGTAAGCAATGGACAGGCAAGTTGTTGAACAGGGACAGCCAGATCCAGAGCCGGAGCCGGAGCAGCAACAAAGCAACCAGAAGCAATTTGATATAATTAGATTTTGCAATTTTCATTTATAAGACTTTGCACAATATGTTCTTTCCTCCCTTTCGTTCCTCGTTCTCTCTATCTATCTGCATGTAAGTGTAAACAAACTGTGGTCAGCGGAAATGCGGCAAACAGGATGCACATACACACACACACACACGCTACCATACACAACGACAAACACTTATGTAGGTAGAAGGCCAGGGCAGCAGGCTCGGGATAACTTGGATAGGAAGTCATAGCGCGGCAATATACTTGCATTTTAAATGCCTGAACCCAAAAACAAAATGCCAAACGTGCCAATACACAAAAAAGAGTCTATATATTTTGTAAGGCAAGATGTACTCTTTACATCGAGTTCAGATATAACATGTAATGTGTACTCGTCATAGTTTTTGTTTACTTTATGGATACATCAAAACGCTTTCATAATTTATGTGTACCACTAATTTAAAATTGAAGTTCTTTTTAAAAAGAGAAGCAAATGTAAAGAATATTTTGATTGGAATTTATAATACACAGACCATATTCTGTAAACTAATTTGGTTTCGTATGGATCGCATCGATTCATTCAATCATTGCTTTGAAAATCCACACATCCCGATTATAATTATGTTTCATCTCAAAATAACTTTAGAATCACGATCACAAATGATCGTATACTATATTTGGCAATTTGTCAAATTGTTTCCTCTCCTATATGATGATTTGTGTTCTATCTATCCGAAATCATATTATGCTTGTGAGTCGGTAATGTATTTGGTTGGCTGAAAGTTCAATTTCGCAGGGTAATACAATTTTGGGTAATTGAAATTTAACTTCATTTTCGTTGTTGTTGTTGTTGCTTTCGTTGTCAGACTGTGACATTCATACACACGTACACAGTTAGTATGGGGCGTGGAGAGGGGAGTGAGTTTCATTTTGCGGATATAACAGCGTAAAAAATGAACAAATTTATGGCACGCTGGCGTGCAGTTGGTGCAATTGCCGGCAGGCAGCCGCCTCTGATAAAGTGAAATTTGCATGCCTTAATTATGCGACGAATGCATGAGACAAGGCACAGACAACACACAGACAGACACACAATCTTACAAACACGAATAACGAGCGGGCAGGCAGGCAAGCGGGCGGGCAGAAGGACCAGCAGTTGAAGTCGTTGCGCCCAAATTGCCGCTTCATTTTGGAGCGAGTGGCAATTACATGAAATGGCCAGAAAGCAATATAAAACTTTGCGTTTGTTTGCGCGGGCAAGCCATGGGTGGAGGGACTTGTTGTTGGTCGACTTGAAGCTCCCAATTCGTAACCATCTTCCCCAGCACTTTGCTTACACATTCGTACAGTTTAAAGGGGAGCGCAAAAAAGCTTTTAGCTCTTTGCCAAAATGGCCATGTCAACTGTGATTGTCCTGGGAGTCTCTCGCTCCTCCGTCCCTCTCCTAGCGGATATGGGGGCTGTCGGTATCGGAATTGTGTAGGCATCTGTAATTGAGTTTGTCAGTGGGTTGCGTAGACGCGCAACTAAGTTAGGCTTCGAACACTCTCAGACATTCATCAGTGATCATTCAAAATCGATTAATCTTGTGAGAAAAATTGCTTTTAAAGGCGGTTCTAACGTGCTGTGGAATTCTCTTTATAGTAGGTTGAACGAATTTTTAGTGAAAGCAAAAGTTAAGTATCGACTCCTTATAAGAATAGTTTATGAATTCTAAAATATTTATTGCATCTAGTTTCTTGCTTGCTTTTGGTCTATCAAGCAACAATTTTGCAGAGAGCAAACACATTGTGCTACATAGGTATAAATTAAATTTTAGTTGAACCAAAACCTAACAGCAATTTAGGAATAAAAGCGTCCATTCAACAAATATTTAATGGAATAGTGCTCTGTATTTGCCTCAAACACGCATCGCTTTTGTGCAATTACTTCTTATATATGTATGTAAATGTGTATATTTCATATTATTAGATTAAAATTGTATTCTGTTTTTATCTACATTTTATAATATTTTCCAACCGTCCACATACAGTCAGTCTCCCACACGGGTTTTGTGCTTCCCACAGTTGGCTTTTTGATTTAGGATTGGGGCTCAGGCAACGGTCAGAAGTACGGAGCGCTGACAAAAGCATCCAACATGTCGGGCGAATGACAGTGTTCGAGAGTTTCGAACTGCCAATGCCGGGAAGAGCGTTAGGTCGGAGGCTTCGTATGTGTGCGTGTATGAGTGTGCAATCTATTGCATGCATTTGATTCAAAACTTTCCATTGAAGTTCTGCAGCAACTTCAGCTGTCGTTTTGTTTACTTTGCCGCTGCTACTGCCTTTGCCTCTGCGTCTGCCACTGTTGGGGCCACTGCCGCTCCAGTTGTTGTAGCTGTAGAACTTTTGTGTTTGTAAAAGAAAGCAAAATGAGTTTCCGACTGTCGGAGCGGAGTTGCGTGTGCTGATGTATTTTTAAAGATTCGAGTGCCAAGAGGGAAGAACTTTTAAATGGCAATTCAAGTTGCAGTATTGCTTGTACCTCGTATGTTTGTATGTGAGGCACTGTGATGGTGCACATGTAAGGTGCAGCAAAGTGGCTGTCAAGTTGTTTAATAGCTTTTTGTGCACAGCTCTTGTCACTGGGCGCCACTTGAAGCGGCTTGGGTTGGCAAAACAAACCGACGAGCAACGTGCATTAGCTAATTTAACAGTTTTTGTCAACTCACAGCTGTTGTGTACTCACACTTCCTTCCACTCGAACTCAAACTCTTACGTAATCCCAACCGCAATTACTCGCTTATAGATTGAGCCAGCATTATTTATTTTTGTCGCTGGCCGGCCCTATTGACACGTCAGACTTTGTAAAATTGTGGTTATTGTGTGTTTGTGGTCTCATAAAGCAATTTCTGTCCAACACACACACACAAACACACGCACACACACACATTCACATGCATACATAAGTATACATACTCGTATACATAGTTCAGTCAGACAGCACACTCGCTCATACCCTGCTGCACACCTTTTGCGGTTGCTGCGGCCTCTGAAAGTGGTGGGGACATTGGCAGGCCCAGAATCCAGACAGCTCGGAATTGTTGTCCATCTGACGTTCTGACAGCTGAAAATTCGCTACAAAATTGCATTTAAACTTTAAAATTTATTTAAATCCATTTACATTCTCGGTGGACAGTGGACAGTGGACAGTGGACCGTGCACATCTGAATGGATGCATGTAAAAACACACGTTTAATTAAGTTCATTTGGCAACTCTATTAGCATCCGTGACTGTACGTGTGTGAGTGTCATTTTTTGTTGTTATTGTTTTTGTTTATTTGTTTGTTGCATGTTGAGCGGAAGTGACAACAGCAAAAAGAGGAAATGCTGCGCATGGACATGTGTCGCACACACACTCACACACACACTCACACACACACTCACACACAAGAGTACAAACATACACTTAAAGGCTACACTGACATTTGAATGCATACATAATTTGCTGAGCATTAATTTAAATTACATAAATGTTGAACAAATGTCGTTTACACTGACGCTGCCCGATGGCTTAATACCCGAACATAAATCAAAATTGTAATATATGTAAATGCACACAAGTGGCAGTTAATATGCAAAACGATTTGCTATTATTTCTCCTTTTTTTGTAGTAATTATTTTTCCAATGCTGTACTTAATACTTTTTATACCATACACCGCATTTTTGTGGCGATAGCTTAATAATCAGCATTTAAGGTACTGTGCTAAGGTGATGTTGATGTTTCATAAATATTAATATGGAAATTATGTATTTATATAAGTTAGTTAGTAGTTAGTAGGTATTTCCGAAATTCTTGATATATTTAATTTGTTAATGGCCCCTTATAATGAGAACTGTTTTACAGGGCGAATGATTAATGTAATTTGTTTGATGCGGGCACTTGGGGTTGAAAAGCAAACACATCCGCTTCAAACACAACAGGTATACTATAGTCTAAGGCACACACCCGAGTTGAGTTGAGTCGAGTCGCAATTGCGTATTTGCTTAACTCTATGGCTTTGAGCGAGCAAGCACAAATAATTACACACATTCACACGCAGACGCACAAAGCACTCAGAACACAATTAAATGTATTTGCAAACACTTTCAGTTGCTTCAAATGGTATTCAAACATGCCCTTAAAGACGACCCACTAGTCAACATTTGTTGGCGTTATCGCTGCTTTATTTGCTTGTGGCCACCAACTCATTTATGCTTATTGTGATTTCAGAACCACGCACTGATTTCTGCAGCCCAAGTCGCCCAGGACAGCAGAAATGAATCTCGTAATAACATCCTCATCCTCTCTGGTGCTGCTCCAGTTTGCTCTCCTCGCCCTGTCCCTGTTGCCGAGTTTGATTTATGGCCACGCCCACCCAGGCAATGGTAGAAAGCATGCGGCAGCGCTGGCGCAGCTTACGGGTGGCGCCCACTTGGTAATGGAGACCCAGTCCGGTGATGTGTTGGTGCGTGCAGCACGGGGCGCTGGCTCAGCCGAGCTGACGCCCACTTCAGTGGATAATGCTGCAACGGGCCATAAGCGTGTGAAAAACAATAATAAGAAATCGAATAAATCGTCAGATCATGTGCAGCATGCGGGCGGCCGCAAATCGGGATATAAGAAACAGCCCGGCGATGGCGCACAGCCACAAGCACACCAACAACACCACCAGCAACAGCAGCAGACGCATCAGCAGGGCCACAAAGCCAACAAGCGGCAAATGCTTAAGCAACAACAGCACCAACCAGGACACCATGCCCATCATCAGAACGCAAGCAAAAGGACGGGCGGTCAAAAGGCCAAGCAATCGGAAAATGGTGAGCAAAAAGAAGAAGAAGAAGCCGCAAATGGCAAAAAGTCACGTAAGTCTTTTTTGATTGTTGCATAAGATGCTTCCCAAATAAGGTGTGTGGCGTAGTTGAAAAACGAGTATAAGACATAATATATCCGAAATCTGACATTTTCCCAAACTTTCTATTTACCAATGTTCCCAGATTTTCTCTTTTACCCTTTAACTCTGAGGAATAGCTGACAGATAATCAAATAAATAATAGACCCAAAAATGTCATCATATCTGAGCTGTTTAAAGCTGTATGAAAATCCTTTCGTTTATAAAATATATTTATCTATAATGTACCATGTATTTGTTGAAACAATTAGGTTTCAAATAGTTAATCAATTAAAGGACATGCAGATCTTGCTAATAAGAACCTCTTTTTACATTTAACTAGTATGTCTTTTCGAGTAGAAACTATGAATCGCACCATATCGCAGTTGCAATGATGGGGTGTTGCATTGCATACTTTTGCGCTCCCGATTTTCAGGACATCGTTAAATTTAATGGGTGCTTCAGTTCATATGAATGTATACGCGTGTGGCACAAAAACGCGCATAAAAGTCAGTCATTCGTGGAAGAAGCTTGTTGCTTCAACTGTCTAGTCTCACACAATGTTTACAACAATATTCCTGAAAAACTTAAAAGCAGAGTTCAGGAGCCGCGCGTACTCGACTTCTCTATACTCTGTCACGCTCAAAAATAACTTGAAGCAAACAAGTACCAATTATACTGCATGAATTCGAAAGAGTAACTATTTGCTTAATACCCCTTGATAGAGAGACAAGGCTGTCGATGTAGCCAAATTATTTCAATAATATCTTATAACGAATTCAAATTCATTCGCTCAACGGCCAGCAACACAATGTGGAGAGCCATTATTATTTTTACCAAAAATAAATAGGATCATAAAGAAAAAGCGAAATTAAATGAAACACACATTTTTTTACATTTTAAGATATCTTTATCAATTTCATTCACTTCTAATATTGTATATTTACAACTGATGTACAGATATCGTATTGCTATTTAGCCGTTTCTTCTTAATTATACGAAATTGAGAAATATTACAATTAAGACAACAATTAAGAGAGAACAGTGGGAAAAATGATACAAAAAGCCCATAAAGCTTCAACCTTAACATATATAATTTTTGTACCAGTTTCTGACCCGATGCGGGAAGATTTATTTGTCAGTTCGGCAAGCTTTTGCCTCTACTCACTAAACAGTGGTCGAACATTCTAGCTTTAATCGCCTTATCAGATTAATCAATAATCTGTATAATTTGTTTGGTCTGCCAGTTGTTACATTGAACAGAATTATGCCACAATACCCTTTTACCATTCGGGTACAGGGCATAAGCACTAAAATTTCATTTGCCGGCTTTGGCCGCAGCTGAAGCTCATGCCCATGGAGATGAAGATGCAGATGATGATGATGATGATGATGATGGAAAATAAACAAGACGTTTTGCCGCCTTGGGCCATAGCAGTGGAAGCAGCAGAAGCAGCAACAACTTCATATTTTACAGATGAAAACAAACGCAACCATGCGTCTAAATCGCAAACCATGGCTCAGCAACAACAATTCGAGTAGCTACTGCCTCGTAGCCGGCAGGAAGCTGGCGATTCGGGCCTATGCGATTCTTATGCGTAAATAATGTAGAAAAAATGCCAACAGGGAAGACAACACATAAATAAATTTCGGACTGCCGGCAATACCTTTGGCAATAAAATTTGATTGAGTTTGATACTCATATTATAAAATATGTAAGTAGGCCCACGTGCAGTGTGGCTCAGAGAAATGTGAAATGCGGACGGCATCTCACGCATACAAACGAGCGCGTTAACAGAGCTTTTAACATTAGCGTAACATTAACAGGGCTGGGCAGCATATTAAATTAGAATTAGGTGTCTGGACAGCTCGGAATGACCAACGTACAGCACAGAATTGCCCGGCAATAGTTGGTAATGGGAAGATGAGGGAAGGGAGCCGCACACGCATCCGTCCGTATTCCGTCGAATGAATAGCCGGGTAATTTTGTTGCATTTCGGAGTATACGAGTATGCGTATAAAAGGGTTGTCCACCACTTGGGTTGTCTGCACAGACGATTTGAGTTGCCCATAAAAGCACTTATATGCCTATTTATGCTGAGGTCTATAGCCAGCAGGCAGCAGCAGCAGCCAGTAGACAGCAAAGACAGCACCACAAACAACTATGCTTTTGCCAGGCAATTTGGCATCAGGCGAAATGGGTGGGCGGAACGGTCAAAGGTCGAAGCAAAATGCGAAATAAAATGACTGACATTTTAAAATAATCCCTTTGCCGCATATTATATGTTTACTCCTTTTTCTAGTTCCCTTTTTGTTTGGTGATGGACTTTCTTGTGTGTGTCTTTAATCTGCCCAATTTTTGAGAGTTTTAATTCAACATAACTTATTTCATCGCCTTATATTCTACTCAACTGTTAGACGATAGTTTTCTGTTTGAAATGAAATTATTTTTCTAGATTTTTAATTCCGATGGCGTCTTTTTAATTTTTTATTGAAATTACACAGTTGCTTATAAATGCGCGCAACCTCATTATGACAATGGTCTACGTATTGTATATTCCCGCGGGACATTTAATTAATTACCACGTCAGAGATTTTCAACGAAACGTGCTGCGCACAAATTTAAATGAGATTTTAAGTTGATGGCTCTGTATGTCCTTGCACATTTTTGTATATTAAAGGCATTAAGCCAGCTTAAATTTTCGCTTCGTCTGCAGGCCACAAAGCTTGCTCGATTTTATAAAGCTCGACTAGAATCGAGGTACATTAGCGGCCGGGCAGTGCTCCTAATTTTAATTTTGTGCCTCCGAGAAGTCGTTTATGCAAATGAAGAAAATTTATTAAATTTTTCCTTTTTTTTGCATACTTAATATGCTTAGTTGGCGAGTTTTAATATATGTACCCACATATTTGTTTCTATTCGACAGCATCCACCTGTCGCTATGCGAAGAGCGCCTGGTCGGACTGCGATGCCAAAACAAATCTGCGCACGCGCACTCTGACTCTGAAGAAGGGCGAGTCCAATTGCCTGCCCACACGGACCATGCAAAAGAAGTGCAAGAAAGGTGAGTGGAGGATATGTATCTACCTACACACACATACATATGTGTGTGTATGTGTATGAGCAGCATCAGCATAATTGTAACAAACTAATCAAGTTGAAATATGCAAACGATGCGAGCAAAAGTGTGTTGCTATTTCGGCCCGTGGGTCAAAACAACAATTAGTTAAAGTCATGGCTCGCATACATCAGCAGAATTCGAACATAAATCTCAACTATGCTCATGCGTCAAAGCTGCAGCTGTAAGTTCGTAGTGGAAGGGATGTCAGGCTGTGCGGGCGCGTTCATTGTTCCGAGTTAACTTCCGCGTTGACAAACAATAGCTCACACACACACACACACACCCACCGAAGAGATGGACAAAACGTGCGTGCGTGTGCGTGTCTGAAAGAAAGTTCACATGGAAGACGAATTACGGCGATTGGAATTATGACAGCTTGAGCTCAGTAAATAAAAGCGCCTGAACTCGTTCTCGTAGTCAATGGCCTGGAGATGTAATTAAAAATCTGTTTGGGCAGAAGCAACAACTGCAGAGGACTTGTGAGGGGCGCACGCTGGTATGAAAGCGATTTAAAATAATTAATTAACCTCCTAATCGCTCGAAAATATAGGTATTACAAATATTCTTATCTTGAATAAATCATTTGAATTTCTTGAAAATGTTGTCCAATTCCTTGAACAATTGCCCACTTAACCGAAGTTATATCTCATACACCGTATTTTTCACTATCTTAAAACCATTCTTTAGACGCCTTAAAAGTTGTTCCGATTAGAATATAAGAAACAAAAAAAAAAAACAATCATTTTCTCACAATGTGAACATATCATTATTTATTGTATTATTTGGAAATATTTTTTACTTAGCAACGGAGCTCGTGACTCTGATGAGCTAATTGATATTCATAGGGGAGAGTAGGGGGTGCACAGCGGGCATGGTGTGTCTTGCTCGTACAGTCCCTGAGATGTAGGTGCCCATACGGGCGGAGAGACAGAGAGACAAAAAGGGCCAGTTTGACTCATCCTAGCATGCTGATCAAGATCCTTCTTCTGCATATTTCTTTTTTTAATTTGCACAAACCTATCCACATCGTCCCGTTGCGATATAATATTGAATAAAATATAGGTTCGCATCAGTGTGCAATGTCCATTGATTGTTAGGAGAATGGCCCTAACTGCTTCTGTTTGCCTCAAACTTGCTGCATGGCATGTTCAACTTTGATAATTTGTGTGATGCCCCCATAAGTATGCTATTTTGCAGCTACGTAGATAAAAAGTCAGCTATTCGTTAACATAAAATCACGCCCCGTTAGCCAAAGGCAGTTAGGGAGGTCGCTTTTAAAGTAAAAACTCATTGCAATTCACCTGTGCTAGCAGCATTGTTGTAATCGCCTTCTAATTAAAGCGGCCATGCGGCCACTGCAACAGCACTTTGCTGCACATTTGGGGTAACAGCGTTGGCATCGGAATCGGCGTCGCCGTCGCCGTCACAGTCGCTGTCGACGTCGACCCATATGTGCGTTCACGTTCACATACGGCTTTTTCTGTGGCTGTAGATGTGTGTGACAGGCGCATTTCCTCCAATTAGAAAATAAAAATCAGATGCCTGCATTGTTGTTGCTGCAGTTGTTGGCGTTACTTGGTGGTGGAACGTTTTAATTAAGCAGGCAGGCAGGCTGGCAGCCACAGCGACAGTACTTTTTGCCTTCACAGTGACAGCCAAAAGTGTGCGCATGGATGATGATGATGAGGGTGGAGGAGGGGGAGATAGGTTACTAAGGGCGCGTGGGTGTTTTACGAACAATGTTGCATTCAATTTGCTTCCTGTCAAAATGGCGCATTTCCTGCCGAAAGCAGCAGCCAGCGACAACGAAAGACGACAGACGACTGGCGAATGGGAGTGCAATTGCCCTCGTCGCCCTCATACTCGTTCAGTTTTCAAAGGAAGCAAACCCATGCAAGAACCATCATGCACACTCTTAATACCATACATACATACTCGTATATGTACCTATATACGAATATATAGACATATGTACACACAAAAGGATTTGGTTGGCAAAGCGGGAAGAGAAAAAGTTTATTCTGGCTTGCATTACAGCATTACAGCTGCCGCTGCAAGTTGTTGCGGTTGTTAGCAAGTTGCCGCCGTGCCATCAGACAGTGGGATCTTTTGCCCAAAAAACAACATTCTGGTGCCAAAACGGGAAATTTTATTAGAGTAAACGAAGCTGGAAGAGCGGCAAACGAACTCTTGATTGTTGTAGATTAAGGATGCGGGCGATAAGACTTCCTTCAATGTACTATTACTTGTGTTGTCTGATTTAAAATTTCGATATACAAGTATTACATATATCTTCTTTTTTCGTCTCAATTTTGATGCTATATCAGAGAGGTAAAGAGATAATAATTGTTTAGTTTGAATAAATAAGCACTTTGCGGTAACACCTACCTTACCAATAGGAATTTTAAAAAGTAACGAAAGTCTGCTTACCCTCATACAAAAATGTCACACTGTGCATTCTCCTAGAGCCCTCTGTGTATGGCAACAGCAGCGGTAGCGCGTGTTCTTAATAGCTATTCGCGCATATTTGAAACGATTTCCCGTTTTTTAACATTTTCATTTTTGCCAGATGCTTGCTTTGTCGATTATGCTCCGATGCCACGCGAATTCATCGCACCACCATGGCCTTGCAGCCAACGTTGTAATTTCGATGGTGCTTCCACAGCATGAATAACTTGTGTGCGCTCTCAACTGGAGAGTACAACATGAGATTTTTACAAAAAAATATTTATATAGGATAACATACTTGTACATATATATGTACATACTCGTATATTCTTTTCGCGTTTTAACTAACTGTATGCAAAAGCCTACTACTTAAGGGAAGTGCACAACCACAACATACAAAGTGGATAAAAGCAATTAGTTTAAGTTGCATCCTACTCCAATACGAGGAGATTGAAAGTACCTCATGACTGAGAGAGACTCCGACTTACCAATAAAGAGCTTAAATTAGTATTACATTTAGGGAACTAATGTATTGTTTAATGTGAAGACGATGGCGACTGGAGTGTTTCGATATGAAAGGCATCCAATATAAATACAAGTATAGATTAAATTATAACTTTATTCCAAATCATCATATTTCCGGCAGGGTTTGTTGTATTATTAATTACATAAGAAATAAATGCACATCAATCCGTCTATTGAATGAATATACTTGTTATACTCTCATACTTACATCTACAATAGAAGTCGCCGTTCCCGCTTCGGCTAGAATCGTGCAATGGGCGAGCGCCTTTCCACAAGCTTTTGGAATATCTTCTTCTTATCTCCTTTATAGCCATTATAGGCATTTAGAAAACTGATTTCTGATTCTGCTTAGCTAAACACATATTTACATACTCGTATAGTAAATTCGAAAACTAGATCATCTTTATGAGACACGCAATTGTTTTTCGTATGCTTTTAGCCTGTCGCTATGAGAAGGGAGCTTGGTCGGAGTGCAAGGCTGGCCAAATGACACGTGAGGACAAACTAAAGGTCTCGGACGCCACCAACAACAACAACGAGCAGAGCTGCGAACCCATCCGTATCACTAACAGAAAATGCAATCCTGGCAGCGCCGGCAACAAGCAAGGTGGTAATGGTGGTCGCTCTAAGGACCGTAAACACAAGGAGAAGGGTAAGCATGACATTTAACACATGTATGAAGGTATATTCCAATATTTGTCCTTATGATTGCAGGCTCGCGTCGCGTTACGCCACAGGCCTGAGGCTCTTCGTGATTCACAAACCCACGCACAGTGCTTGCCAAACAGTGCGACAACAAAAAGTATTTAAGTAAAATATAAAGCAACCACAGCCACAAAAACAACACACACAAACAACCAGAACCACAATTTTAGTATTAATTTTAGAATTGTTTTTTCAAGCTCAAAAGTAAATATCGTCGAAGTTTTGTAAGATCCGATATGGGAAAATCGATCGTCTTTTCACCTTGGGCTTTTATAAAATTTTACGTTTTATTCGTAATTTGTTGCTTACATTTGCATTTGCAAGAAGTTAAAACTGTACGTTATTACTATATATTGTAATATCGCACGAACTGTCTCAAATTCCAGATGACATTTTTCTTTCGGTATGAAAATAAATAAGAAATGAACGGGAAGAATGGGTGAAGGGGGCGTAGATCCTTTTGACTGAATGCGAATATGAATAAATATCAAATGTGTAATTTGTTTGCAATTAAAAATAAATGTTCAGCGAACAATTCCAAAAACTTAGTGTCGTCCATATCGTCCATTTGCATTGGAGTAGCCCCCGCTGCCTCCGGAAAATGCATTGCCACCAAAGCCATGACCACCGCCACCGCCACTGCCACCTCCACCGCCACTACCGAAGCCATTGCCGAAACCTCCACCTGAGGAGCTTGAACCCAAGCCAGAGAAACTACTTCCACCCATTCCGGATCCGAAGCTGCTGCCAATACTAGATGAGCCAAAGCGGTTGCCACCGCCGCCGCCACCACCACCGCTGTGACTGCCACCGCCATTGAAGCCATTGTAGCCACCACCACCACTTCCTCCGCCACCACCATTGTGTCTGCCAGAGCCGCGACCGCCGCGATTCCGTCCACCACCGCCGCCAGAATCTCGTGCAATGTACTCCAGCTCCGGATTCACATTCTGATTTGCTTCACGGAGTATGTCAATAAGGGCGCGTGCGCACTTGGCATTCTTGCGGGTGAAGAACGCGTAGGATGTGCCCGTGGAATGTTTACGTCCTGTGCGTCCAATGCGATGTATGTAATCCTCCGAGGATTGTGGAAAATCAAAATTTATGACATACTTGATGCCATCCACGTCCAGCCCACGAGCGGCCACATCAGTGGCGACCAAAATGTTGGCGCGTCCGCTACGGAAGTCATTGAGCACATTGTCGCGATCCATTTGCGACTTATCGCCGTGAATTGAGCCTACGCGCACACCGAATGCGTTGATGAAGCGTGATAGCTCATCTACTTTCTTTTTGGTGGCCACAAATATGATGATTTTGCCGGGTGAGTTGGACTGGTCATATATGTGAGAGAGCAAATCCTTGAGCTTGGTGCCCTTTTCGTGCTCGCCGCAAACCTCCACGTACTGGCGTATATTGTGATTGGCTGACAACTCCAGGGATCCAATGTTGATCTACATTGTTGAGTAAAGGGCTTTAGCGTGAAGAATCAATAGAATGCATGTCTGGTTGTTTACTCACCTGAATGTAGCTGCCCAGAAAATCTTCAGCCAGCTGTCGCACCTCCTTGGGCCAGGTGGCACTCCACATAAGTATCTGACGGTCGGGCCGTATTTGACCTAAAATTTTGCGTATCTGTGGCTCAAAACCCATATCCAACATGCGATCCGCCTCGTCCAGCACCAGATATGTGCATCGTCGCAAATTGGTGGTGCCACCTTGCAAGAAGTCCAGCAAGCGGCCGGGCGTTGCAATAACAATCTCCACGCCACGCTCCAAATCATTGGATTGCTTAGAGCGTGGTGCACCACCGAAGATGCATGTGTTGCGTACATATGCGCTCGATCCGAAATCATTGGCCACCGATTGAATCTGTTGGGCGAGCTCACGTGTTGGTGCCAGTACTAGGGCAATGGGTCCATCGCCGCGTTGTAGTGGCTGCTGGCCATTGATGTGAACAATGGCGGGCAGTATGAACGCGAGCGTCTTGCCTGAGCCCGTCTTTGCAATGCCCACGAGGTTGCTACCTGACATGGCTATGGGCCAGGCCTGTGCTTGTATTGGGGTTGGCTCTGTATACCGTTGGCGGCGAATTTCATTCATGCAGTAATCGGGGAAGCATGCCTCATCAAAGTACTGTATGGGATTCGGGGCCGGGCCGCGCACTGTAATCTGATGTTGACTGCGAAAGCGCTCCACTTCGTGGGGTGGTCTGTTACGCGTTTGCGGATGCTCCTGATAGAAGTTCTTCTGAAACGGCTGCAAACGCATGTCTGTCCAGTTTACATTGTGTAAATCTATCCAACAAGATAATTCGGGCATTAGAGAATTCCACCAACATTCAAAATCTCAACTTACTTCCGAAGTCGTCGTTTACAGCACCTGCTCCTCGGTTGAGCCCACCGCCCATGCGCCTCGGACTGCTGCGTCGTCTATCAACTCGACCGGACCTCACTGAAAAAAAACAAAACGTATAGTGGTGAGCAACAATATAGTTGTGGCAAATCTTCATTTACGCGGGGGTGGAAAGATGGCAATTGTCCCATTGGATTAGTTTAAAGAATATTTGCCCTGTTTTACCAGCCGATCAATGCACTACTTGGTGTAGTAGTAGTAGTAGTATAATCAATTGGAAAATAGGTGATATAGTCCATTTAAACACACCCATTCAACATTTAAGCAGCTTCAAGAATTTTGCTAGATCGACAAAGATATTAATAATTGTCCTGCTTAGTCTTCTGAAGTATGTAAGTAGTTCTGTACTTCATTGGATTTTTAATGAAGCACTTACCACCGCCACCACCGAAACCACGACTGTCCCGGTCTCGATTACCATCGCGCTGCCCGTATCCGCCACCAAATCCAATGTTGCCGCTACGGTGCGGGGGCGCCATGTTCTAGTCTATAATCTGCAAAATGTTTTGCGCTATACTTTTGGCACTTGTCGGCAAGCCTTCAGATCTGCGCGTTTTGTTTACTTTCTAACGTTAAAGTTTCAACGACTTTGTTGTTAATTGTATTTTTCTTCTCACTAAATGCTTCTTCTTCTTTACTGTCGTTGGAGGTGGCACATCACAAAATCGATTGCTGAAATATCCTGCCACACACCAATTTCTTTTCATCTGGCAACACTAATCATTGAAGTATTGCAAACAACACTGTTCAGTGTTCAGTAAATTCCTCAGGCGCTAAAAATGACGCCGTTTCGCCGTGAGTGTCGCGGACAGATTGCAGCGCGTAAATGGAAATGGACGAATTGGAGGAATCCGCATCCACGGATAACGAGGATGTATTTTATTTTGAATCAGAGCACTTGGCGCTGCGTGGCAACCAGTGCTACTCCGATCTTCTGCGCACCATTGCCATTCTGCAGGCGCAGCGCATCCGCGTGCATCAGCAAATCGACGAGGTAGAACAGGCGCGTAATTTCTATTTGGGGAACCCTCAGGTGCTGATTGACAAAATCCGGAATAACGAGCCCTTGATTGGACCCAACTACATAACAACTATTAATGTGAGTAAAATGTGCTGCAAATGTCCAGCTATTATCTCAAATTGTTCATTTTCAGTTGCCTGAGCTGCCCACGCTGTCTCAAAAGATGGCAGCCGGAACGGATGGCAATGCTAGTGAGTATGAAAGCAGCATTTTATATTGGCTATCCTTCAAATGATCGTAATTTAAAAAGGTTCCAATGCCGCAAACACCTTTATGGAACGCAAGCCGGCGCCACAATCGCCCACTCAACCACACCTGCAAGACAATGACAGCAACAGGAGGTCTGATAGTTTCAATCGCTTATGGACTAATGAAGAACAACGTCGCCTTGAAGCGCTACTCATTGAATATCCACCTGAAGAAATAGAAATGCGACGCTTTGCGAAGATAGCCAAGGCATTGGGTGATCGGACACCTCAACAGGTGTTCAGCCGGGTCCAGAAATACTTTCAGAAACTGCACGATGCTGGCATGCCAGTGCCTGGCCGTATACCCAAGCATCGCAGACCAGGTCTGAGCAAGCCAAAGAACAGTATTCGCCGATCCACGTTTTTTCCCGCACATAATATATCAATGCAAATGCCAGAAGATGATTTTGTGCTCGATGATTTACAGCCTGTTGCTCCCCCACCGCCTCCTGTCAAAATCAAAACTGAAGTGAAAGCCGAGCCTACCGTTGATGATGAGAAAGAAGATCGGCGGCGACGGCAGCTCACTGTTGACATACTCACCACGATATACGATGAAAAGATAGCCAACCCTGAGGGCTATAATCCTGATCCTCTAGCACCCAGATGTGCCGCCTGCGAAGAGTCGAGTGTAACTAGCAAGCGCTGGCGCTGCAACAGTTGCTATTGTTATATAAATCTATGCGGTGATTGCCTCGCGGACCAATTGATGAACGAACGCTTCGAGCACATCGGTCACGATGTGGTTATGGATGAAGAGACGTGAATCTCCGCTCTGTACGTAATAGGCTATCGACTTCGCCTGAGTGGCCATTTTTGATACAGTATACCCCCATAAAAGGTAATTTTATTTTCATTATAAGCATGTGGTCTTTGATTTGTGGTATTAGTGCTCAGACAAATTATTAAGTAATGAACGAACTCATTGGTGGTTGAATGCATTAAAAAAATGTTGGTACAGACTTCCATTTTAAAAAATTAAATTCAAGAAACATTTCCTATGTTTAAGAGAGCAAAAATGAAAAACATTTGCTCAGACTTAGTCAAATAAATATTAAAATACTTACTTATTGCTCTTAAATATTTCACTATTCTACCCGGGGCTTTCTATTTAATAAAAAACATAAAATATCGGTATGACATGGGAAGCAAAATGAACGGTATATTTTTTGCTGTTTCATTTAACACTCGGTTGCATTTCGATATAGAGATGTGCTCGTATTAGTTATTCAGAAGATACTGATAACTAGTGAATTGCGTCATTAACTGAATAACAATTATAGGGATTTATTTTTTGAAAACAAACAATCAATACTCAACACGTCGACTTTGAATTATACTCCAATTATTGTAATTGAATTGAACTATTTTATCACTGTGGCCTGGGCACGCTATGGTTTTCATATATTGGGTAATCAATTTAAATTTTATGGATAATGAAAGTATGCATATGATCTTTCTCAAATTTTCTGAAACAGACAAGATGCTGATTCGTCAAGTATTTGTAATAATGATTTAGGTGTTGACGTCCATTCATCATTGTTCTCTACCGTTTCTGCCAGCTTTCAATCAAAACTCGAAACCTCGACTTTAAATTATAATCTACTTATTACTTTCTTCTTGTAATTTGTACCTACTGACTGAATCCGTGGTAAAATTGCTTTTCAAACCATCTATTGGGTAATCAATTGAAATTTTAATGTGTAATAGGGGATAATAGGAATTATGCATATGATCATTCTAAAATTTTCTGAAACAGACAACAAGCTGATTCATCGAGTATTTGTAGTAATGAGTTAAGTGTTTAGGCCCATTCCATCTTTGTTCTCTACCGTTTCGGCCAGTTTTGCTTCCAAATATGAAAACTATCTTTTTATATTTGACAAAAGCCATGAAATTGTTGTCAACGTTAATATTTTATCATAATTCCTTTCGTATTTAATCGCAAACGATTTGAGCAAAGCACCAAAAAATTTAGTATCCTTCGGCTGGTTATACCAAAAATGTCAAATTTAATAGTGGCCATTTCGTAAGTTTTGAGATCCGAAAACTGTGAAAACAATAAGAGAGAAAAAAAGATTTTTCTAAAAATTCGCAGAGCATAGTAAATAAGTTGCAAATGACTTCAGGAGCCCTCACGCGTCTGCTGTACCATGATGTGTGTGCCTTTCGCGCATTTCGAAAGCTCATCAACACCTCGCGGGCGCTGACCTCGGCACTGTGGATGAACATGAAGGCAATGGCGGAGCAGTCTCAGTATAAGGAAAGGAAGGAGGTGGCACAGGCCATGCGAGCGTCCGAATCAGTGTACTGCCCATGCACGAGAGGATTGGAGTGTCAACCAGTGTCCTTGGTTTATTTGGGGTATCGCCGCTACTCCACCTACGACAAGACGACATCAACGCAGATATTGTCAAAGCTCTTTCCGCAAACATCCATAGAGCTTACTGACGAGCAGAGTCGCGAGCGTCGCAAGCGCGAAGAGGAGGAGGAGCTGAAGGAGATGGAACGAGCGTGGAAGCGCATGAAATTTGGATTTGTGTTCTTCGGCATAGGCGGCGTCATATTCTCCATGTGGGCTGTTTATTTCTTTGGCCAGCCAGCCATCGATGAAAAGGGCGAGGAGGTGATCGATGAGTTCAGCGCGCTGCCTTTGGCCAAACAGTATATGGCTCGTACCTGGAAATCGCTGAATCGCTTTCAGCGCTTCATACAGGAGCCATCGAGTCAGAAATTGCTTCCCGATCCGCTGACGGCGCCTTATGTGCAGCCGCCTTATACGCTGGTGCTCGAAATGAAAGATCTGCTTATACATCCTGACTGGACGTACGAGACTGGCTGGCGCTTTAAAAAGCGGCCAGGTGTAGACATATTTCTGCGCGAGTGCTCCAAATACTTTGAGATTGTTGTTTATACGGCGGAGCAGGGTATTACGGTGTTTCCGCTTTTGGACGCCCTTGATCCAAATGGCTACATTATGTATCGTCTGGTGCGCGATTCAACGCACTTTATGGGCGGCCACCATGTTAAGAACCTGGACAAGTTGAATCGCGATCTGAAGCGCGTGGTCGTAATAGACTGGGACAAGAATTCCACCAAGATGCATCCTGGAAACTCGTTTACGATCCCACGCTGGCTGGGCAATGACGACGACACGACCCTCTTCGATCTGGTCTCGTTTCTAAGTATTTTGGGCAGCAGCGATGTGGATGATGTCCGCGAAGTACTGCAGTACTACAACCAGTTCAAGGAGCCCATCGCACAGTTTCGCGAGAATCAGCGCAGGCTGCTCGAACAGATGCAGGCCGACGAGCTGGAGCAGAAGAGCAAGTCGCGGCCCATGGTGAAGAATTGGTCGCGCAGCTTCATACGACAATGAAGAGGCTTTGCTCAGTGTTAGGCGTTCTTGTAGCTTATAATTGGTTCAATTTTCTCCACAATTACCCGTTAACTCATTTATAAATTGCTTGCGTTCGGTTTTTAACGTTTGAACGCTAAATTATAACTTGAAATTTATTGCAACAAATTGTTTGTGGTATCATGTTGGGATAAAATAGAAAGGACACAGCTGCTAAGTCTCGATATCGTACTCCTTTAGGCATAACTCCAGCTCCATCAGTTGCGAGTTCATCTTCTTCACAATGGTGGACAGCTGCTGGAGCTCAGGGGCTTGGCTGGTCATTCTTTCCTGGTCGCTGTCCGTCATGTTCTCGTGCAGCTTCCGCTTAATCATGTTGACGGCTTCCTGCTCCTGTTTCAGCATCTTTCGTATCTCGAGCTGCATGTTCTGGATGGTCAAGCTCTGGCGATGGCGTCTGGCATAGTAGGACTGACGTTTACATGTGTACACAATGAGCAGCAGCCAGATTATGATCACCAAAGCGAAGCCACACGGATTCCGAATGTTCATGGACCCTTTGTGTATAGCATGGACTGCATGCGAGGCCAAATCTATTACTTCACTTAAATTAGACATTGTGCGAGTGTTGTAAAGTCCACTGAATTTATGCGACAGTTGGGAAAACTGAGAACTGTTGAACCGATAATCCAGGCACACTTGGATTAAAATCAAATCTACACATGGCCAACCTTAAATGGGTCTGGAATTCGACATGCCCACTCGAATGTGGAAAGAATAGGTGTCCGAACACAATCAGCATCTGAACTCAACCTTGTAAAAAGTAAACTGAATAATAAAATGCCACCAATTTGGATTATTACAATGGGAAAGGAACTTATAACTCTATGAACGGCACGATCAAGAATCAAGAATTTTATCCGTTTCCATGTTATTTTCATCGCTCCGGCAGTTCAACATCTGCATTCTCTCAACTCCAATAGCTAATGATGTAAGGCTGTTACATTTTGAAAATAGTACTAGCCTCCAATCAAAATGAAAATCGAAATCAAGGATTCTCCAGAAACTAAAAATGTTGCTATGTGTCGCCATGCTCAGCAACATGTTGCGGAGCATATCTGCCGTTAATATCTAATGTTTGTCAGTGGAAAGGCGGGGTGGGGCCTCATATTCGAGACGAATTGGATAGGTATGTCCGTCGGTCTGTTTGTTTTTTCTGCTTAACAGATTGATTTGCGTGCATGACAATTTCCGTCATCTTATTAGCTCGTCTAAAGCCATTTACACACACATTAGGAATTAATTGGTCCCTCCACAGACACGTAGCGACTTTTCCCAATAAACTACAAAAAATGTGTGTGTGCATATATATAGATGTGTGGCCATTGGGGAAAAAGTCTTTCCAATCAACGGAACATTAACCTGAACACAAGTCAATGGGAGGCAAAACAAATTACACTTGCGATAAAAATCCAATACGCTGACTATAATGAAATTATAAAGAGACAAGACAAGTCGAGCTGGAGCACGAGGCTCGAAGCTTGTTGCGAGGTGTGATTGCGTGTGGTAAACAAGAGGGCACTTCATCACGTAAAACGCTTTGAAGACAGACAGGACAGACAGCACACCCGACTCCGGACTGCGGACGGCAGACGGCCAACGACCGACGTCGTATGGGCCAAATCGGGGCGCCAACTTAATGGAGCACGGAGAAAAATGCGCACCTATTTAAGCTGCGACAAATCTGTTTGTGTGTGTGTGTGTGTGTATGTCATGCCCTCCGCTTTTCACCGAGTAGGAAGTGGCTGTCATCGTCTGAAGTGTTATTTGTACAACGGCCACGAATATGGGTCGTCGGATCTTAAGCATGCGACCGATGTGAAGCGAACCGAAGCCAAGTGAGAAAGCTAAGCAGCTTGCATTTTGCATAATTTCATAATTTCATTTATGTGCATGGAACGGCGTCGCGTTTCTTATAAGTTGAATGCGCTCCAAATGGGTGGAGAGAATGCTGAATGAATGGAAAAACGCCATAGAGGCGATACTCGTACCTTACAGCAGACAATCAACATGAAATAGCATTTGGATATACATAGTATGTCAAAACAGGTGCCACTTATTTAACTTTCTGAATGGAACTTTTCCATTCGCTTATCAAAATAGAACAATGAAGTATTCAAAAACAGAAAATGGTGCATTCTATGAATTTGTTATTTGTGTGGTTACAATAGCAGTTTATTCCCGGTGGCGCTTTTAGAGAATTGCTTTATTTCCACATAATTAAAATATTCACATTTGGCTGCTTGTTGCGAGAATGGCAATTTTACCAGCGCGCTGAAATCGTTCACATTGGGGAACTGTAGCAACAAAATGAGTGGCGCAAAAAAAATCTGCGCAGCTTCTGGAACAATTGCCATGCAACAATAAATTGTATAGATTTTTGATAATGTCACCTGCGCGGGGCAGAAAAAAATATAGTAAAGGGCCCATACATGTATACCGTATGTTTATAAGTAAAATGGAATGCAAAAAATTGTTTTTATGTTCCGAATTTTTTGGTCCCATACAAAAATCCACTATGGTCGAAGCCACAGAATATATAATTAATCGAAAAGAATGCCATGAGACATTGAATTGTTAAATGTTTTAAATGTGGTTGTCATTACATTTATTGGGATCCAAACAAAATTCTGGATTCGGGCGGTGCTCAATGAAAAGTGATTTTCAATATGTCGCTCGAGAAGAAATAAAACAATATGGAGGCGAATATCGAAACACTCATGGAGACGGTACAGTTAACTGGCATTGCTAAACGGTTTGTTCAGCTTTAATAAAGAAACATCCTTACATGCATAGCAAACTAGGCTTTCCCACAGACTTGCATATGTGCGTAATTATACACGCACGAACAGAAGCTAAATAAATGGCCGTTGGCATTGGGGCCGTACTACGTTGCGTATGTGTAACGCAATTTATTGCTATTTACATTGGCTTCATGTGCTTTCGAACGTAGACTGGCACAGACTAGCATTTGTACGTACGGAAGCATAAACACACGCATATACTCCATGCTTAAATACAAGCACATACTTGTATACATAGTAGATGTTTATTTTGTGCGACTTCCGCAAAGGCTCTTCACTCGAACTGAGTTCCAGCTGGCTCTTCGTTCAGGCAGCTTCAGGAATCGTTGCTATTGATTTCGGTTAAACTTTGCTTCCCATTTCGCCTGTCTATTTCGCATAATTCAGTTCTATTCACAATCTTGCAAGCGTCTTAACCAACAACATTTTCGGGAAAAATAATCATAACAAAAGTACGACAGAGATCTGTGTATGAACCTATGGACATGTCTGGGAGGACTGGACCACTCAATCAATCATTTGTTGTTGAAAAAGCAAAGCAATTTTGTAAATATTGTTATTGATTAAATTCATGTGTTTCTGAAGTTTTTGGGTGTATGGAATGGATCGACTTGTTATATGATACAATATACGCGTACATTGACGAACTTCTGATTTGTGGGTTAATTTATCATCTCATTATATGTTTAGGTGATTCAGCATTTTGTTTTGATTTTATTTAATAAACAAAAATGGGTTGTCGATATAGATAACAAATAATAATTTCAACTTAGGAGATAAGAAAGCCTCAAAATTAAATGTATAATGATGTCCATTTATACAACAGTTTTTATAGAATAGAGGGTTCTGTCGAATTGACGAGCAAGTGGTTAACTACGCATACAGAAGAGGGTGTTTGTACAAGAGAGAATAAGTTTAACATAATCAGAATACATTAATATGCGAGAGTGTAACCAGGTAGAGGAGAGGACAAGCAAATTTTTTGTAGTTAGCCTCTCTATTTTTAAGACCCTTTTGAGCAGGACATTCTCGTATGGCAGATTTACAGAGGTGTCGCAACGTAGATGTGGCTATTTTATTTAAATTTTCTTGGTATAGCTGACAACTTTGCATTACCTCTGTAACTCGAAATGTCACACCATCCGTTTTATCTATAGGAGTGTAATAGGATTCTCTTCAACTAATCGGAAAGATTGAAGAAACAAGCGACAGATTGAAGAGGGTATGCAGTAGTTGGATTAGGGAGCTAGGGCACTCCTTGAGTGCATAGGCAGGAATGTTGTCTACCCCAGGAACTAATTTATGCTGCGGCATTCGTATGACCGGGAAAATTAACAGCAGTGAGCAGAAGACAGACGAAATGCAAGCATTGTTAACTACCTGCCGGCCATGCGCTGTACCTACGGGAGTGGAGGGAGGGCGATTTCTAAAAGCACTTTCATGTTACCGCAAATGTCTCACGACTCCGAATATTTGCAAATCCATTGGCCCACAGAAAGCCATCAACTAGTTCTGTCAACTGAGACTAAAGTAGACGAAGCGACATTGATTTGATATGCGAGTACTCGTATATTTGTATTTTCGTGCCAGCTTTTATTTATTGAATTTCGCGCTCTAATTAAAATTAATTAAAATATTTAAAATGCATCGGCGGAACAAAAAACTCAATTATTCATTGGCATCAACAATAAATAAATCAATGCAACTATATTTATTATACATATGTTTGTATATGCAAATTATTTAATGCAGAAAAAATCAATTAAACGTGACAGAGCACTACAGTATAGAAAAATAAATACAAATTACAGTAGAGTAATTGAAATTGTGTTATTGTTCACTCCGAGCTAAAAAGAAAGGAAAGGAGTGCGTTGTTAAATAAATGAACACAAATATTAAAATGTTTCATATATTTTTGTTTATTAAATTTTGCAGATAATATCGCTCGTTAAAATTATATTGCCACTTAAATTTATGGCCTGTTTAATGAGCTTGCTTAAGAATGCATTAATAATATACTACGAAAATATATCATTATTGTATAAAAACGGCACACATTTTGTTGAAAACTGACCAGAAGTTACGAAATTATTCACTTGAATATCGCTTGACTCCATTAACTTATTTACACACAAAGTTGTTTCATTGTTGCGTCGCTCATTAGCGCCAAATTTGTTAACAATTAGCGTGACAGCAAAGGCGAGAGAATGTTTAGGCAAAATGAATCTGCTTTCCGCACCTTCAATCTTTGTCAGATGTAATTAATTAAAATATATTAAGTATGCGTGGCGTGTTGGTCTTTAG